CACAGGAGAAGGGTCGCAAGTACAGATGGCGGGCATAGAGAGAGCAGTCCCCGGAGCATCACGGAGAACAAGGCCATGAATATGAAGGCCATGAGCTCAGGGATCAGAATCTGAACCTCGAGCGAGACCAGGATCTGCTGTTCAAGGAGCCCCTTGAGCGTACGTGGTTCCAAGGATCAGGACTGTGGGGCCAGTACCACACGTCAGCCCAGAGCTATGAGTCAGTCCAGTGGTACTCACGGAGCAATGCCAGGACACTGGCTAACAGGTCAGGATGCTGATGGTCCCAACACTGCTGGCTTGCCTGTGGATGGTGCCTGGCTATATGGAAGCAGTAGTTTCTCCTGTACAGTGGGAGACTTCTGCAACATCAGTTCAATGAGGCCCCTGGTAGCCCCAAAAGTATCAGGGGAAGAGGGCACTGCCACGTCCTCCAGCAGCAGTATCAGGGAGTGCAGAAAGATGGGGGCTTGCTGGAGGGTCCTAAGCCCACATGTCAGCAGACAGTCTCCCGACAGAGGCTCAGGAAGGCCTTTCTGGTCCGGGGCTTCAAACTCTTGCAGATCATGCACTTTTCAGACTGGTGAGCCTCCCCCAGACACCTAACACAGCGTAGGGGGCGGCCCATGAGCATAGATTCTGAGCAGGAACTGCAGGGCTTGAATCCCTGAGACTTGGGCAAGAGGGAACGTGGGGGGAAAGGGGTAAGACCCCCTCACAACCACTTCTACAAAAGCTACCACTAAAGGAATCAACTAACTACAGCAACAGAAACCACGTCTAGGGACGAGAAGTGCACTCGCTAAACAAGACAGCCGCTGTTCCAACAACTGTCACTGAGGGTGAGCAAGAACTGACAGAGGGTTGTGTTGGCGGGGTCATATTTAAAGCATCATTCTGGTGCTGCTCCCAGGGGCTCCACAGCCAACTTGACAGGTCACCGCAAGATAAAACTTCTAACAGCCATGCACACAGCACGCACACACCTAACTGGAATTGATATGAATAAACACTTGAAGGAGGAAGTGTAACAGCATAACTGTGTAACCAACTAACACTTTTTATTGGTTATACCGTCAAATATTACCCAGGGAACTAACAGTGCAGGGGATGCTGAGGCATCCCCACATTTTACAATGGAGTTCTGTTGCTGACCCCACCCCTGAAGACCCCATTGCTGTCCCTAAGTCCGGGATTTCACTGTCACTGTGTCAACATTCCAGCTTACCCAGCAACCTGTCTGCCGATCATATGCCTGCAGTCGCGGTTGCTAGTGTAGTAGTAGAACACCACACCTGGGGCGCTGCTGCTGCCTGGCATCCCAACGCATTTAGGGTCTCAGTATGGGGCTGGCAGCAGGGACAGACCCTAGTGTACTAGGATACGGGGCAGCAGCTGAAATGCCAGATGCACAGGGATGCCAGGAGGTAGCAGAATCCCAGGCATGGGGCCAGTAGCCTGGAGGGATTCTGGGCAGGCAGCTAAGGCCTCAGGCAATGGGGTGCGGGGGGGAGGCATCCAGGACCCTGGTTAAAATGTAACCATTAATGTTAGCCAGTTAAACTCTTACATCTCTACTTTCAGGCCTATCACAGCAGGAAGATGGGCTGGATGACCTACTCCTACTTCTCTTTTCTCTGTTATTCTGCCAGGAATAAAGCTTGGGTAAAACATGTATAGGCTAGATATAGGATAGATTCATGCCCTTTGTTAGCTGCTTTTCTGCCTTACTCAACCATTTAAAACATACTTCAATTTCTCCCCCCAGGTTTTATCTTCCTCACCATTTTTTTTTTTTTTGTGCTTTATGAACAAAACAGGCTCAATTCATTCTTTCAGATTCTAGTCCTGGGGAGTTTGGGTTAGAAAAGGCCCTCACTGACTTTCCATCTCACAGACTTGTAAATTCCTCTCTCTCTCTTTGCTAACATTTAAATCTCTATGTTATAAAACTTTAATGTCTTTTGAGACTTAACGTTTGTATAAATACTATCCAAAAAATAGTCATATTGTATTCTCACTTTCCTATGCTGAGGATTACAGATCAGTAGCTCTAAAGAGTTGGTCCTGTGGACCATCTGTGGACAATGGAGCCCTTCCTGACAGCCCACAGAATAAAATACTTATAACCATGCAGCTGGGCATGGCCCATGACAGTGTCTTTGGCTTACCTCCCAGAATCATAAAGCCAGGTAACTACTGCAGATCATATTTTAGATGGCAACCTTTCAAGACAAGGATTTGTTCATCTTGAGTCTTTACAGGCCCAAATACATTATAAGAATTTAACAACCAACGAACAGCGATAATGCTCTATACAGCTGAATGTCATTCAGACTTCCTACATCTCCCACGTTCGGAAATCATCTAGTTTTGCTGCAACTGTCCTTTTATGCTGCTCTCAAAATGCTGAAGAATCTAGGGTGATGAAAAGGTTAATTTTTTTCCTGCTTGCTAAAATATTCCACTGGCTGTTAATAGAAGTATTTAAATCTTAAACGCTAAAATAAGTCCAAGAATTTTTTAAAATAATTAAAGAATGTATGTAGCCTGGTAGTGAAAGACGCCTCTGCATGACAGGGGCACTGACACTGCTCAGCTTTGCAAGCCTCTACCCATTCCAACCATCAGATACTTTCTTACCACAAAAGAGTTATGCCTGTTAGTCCCTATTGATTTACTAAATGCCTTAGAATATTCTCAAAGGGCAACCGCCGTGAAATTCTCACTTCCCGCTAGGATGACTTGTTGTTCTGTTAAGTACAAAATGCAATACATCGATGAGTGTGGTTCTTGCCGTGCACAGTCAAGCAGTTTCAAAAGTCTCTAGTTCCTCGATGTTTTAGTAAAAGTTTTCTGCAAAGCTATTTAACAAACATACAAAATTTGTCTTTCACTTCCCGATCTTCTATCCAGGGTCAGCATTACCCATCTCCGATGGCTGCTTGGTGACTTATGGTCTCGGTCCAGTTCCCAGAGGACAGATGTTCACAGCACAAAAACAACCCTGCCCAAACTGACAGTCTCAGCAGACACACCTACAACTGAATAGTCCCTAGAGACTGAACTGTCCTCTCAACCAGAAAAGGATCCCAGAAGAGACCCAGTGGGGCAAGCACATGGGGAAGCTTCTAGCACTGCTGCCTGGGCTGTTCTTGTTCTGCGGTGAAAGGATTTGAGCCTGCAGTGCTGCCTGATCAATGCTTTGCATAGAGTCACACCAACACCTTAGGAAAGAATGCAAATAAAAAGCTCCTTTACATTGTGCTGGAAGCCCCAAATAGCAAGTGGGCAGCGCACATTATTGAAGATGGGCTTGACCCTGCAAAGTAAAAAGCACATACAAGGTGCAGTCCCTAGAGCTCCCAATGACTTCAGTGGGAGAGTAGGATGCTCAGCACCATGTGGTAAATAAACTATCTTCCCCACCCCCCTTAATTTTTATGTCTCCAAAAATCAAGACTTTCTGTCTCCTCCTCATTGTGAAGCCCCGATGCTGTGCTAGTGACCATGTCACACCCTCATCAGACTCTGCTGCAGATGGGAGTCGCTCTACAGGAACCAGATGGCCCTGCTTTGAGGGGAAAATATGGATTTGCATTTGATCAGAATTCTTTCAGGGGATTTTTGTGAAAGGGAGGCTGAAGGCTTTTGGTTTTTTTTGTTTTTTACAATATTGTGTGGTATAGCAAAGTTTTTACATCTTGGATTTCTCTTTTTGAATGGTACCTTAAAGAGTAAGGAGTCAAGGTATTGGAAAAGGAAACAACATTTGCAAAACCACGTAATATTGTAAAACAAAAAAGGACGGGACTTACCTGAGCCCCCTACAGGGCACTCGGGTCTGCAGTGGAGATCTGTGATGGGTGTGACATCACCAGCATAGTGCATGCTGGGGGCATCGCACAGAGAGGCAGCCAGCGAGTCTGGATTTTGCGGAACTTGAAAAGGAAAACAAAAGCTAAGTCAATTATGTGCTAAACGTCCTTCTTACCTGCTGCTGCTGCTGCTATTCTGGGCATTCAGCACATGGGTCTGGAATTTTCTGAGGTTAGCTGCATGGTGCAGATTACATGATCCAGTGCATAAGGAACCAAACTAGGAGTCAGAAGACCTGGGTTGTATTCTCTGACTCACTGTATGACTGTGGAAGTTACGTAGGCAACATTTTCAAACCTTGGTACCTAAGTGTTACATGTCTAAACTCATAAGCACCTTCCCCAAAAGTAGCCTGATTTTCAGAAGTTTCCAAGGCTACAGGTGCCTTGCCCCTCTGAAAAATCAGGCTGCTGACTCTAGGCCCCCTAACTTTGAACATTTCAGCCTGAACCTCTCTTGTGTTTCAGTTTACCCATCTATAAGACAGGGAGAATGATGCTTAGCTTCTTTGGAGATCTGCAGATGAAAAGCACTGTGGAGACAAACAAGCACAGCAGCTAATTTCTCCATTTCTATAGTATTTTTCGATGGCTGGAATCATTTGAAGTTCTAGCTGCCAGAGTCTAATGAGCAGATGTTTCTTTATCTCTCACGTTAAATTTAAATATAAAGGATTTTCTTTGATACTTAACCCAAAAAAAGTGATGGTTCATAAAGCTGAACTCACACACACACACGCACTGATCACTGCAATCCACTCGAGGACATTGAGCAAAGAAGGTTTTATTGTTGTAAGTTGTTTCTGGGAAGTTTCCTTTCTGTTTTTACATGGACTTCCTCTCTTCTGATCCATGTTTCTACAACAGAGTATGTCTTTCCTCAAGCCCCCTTCCAGCAATCAGCTCCATCTTAATGCCCTCACGGAGTCCAGTGACTCCACAAGCAAATGTCCAAGTGGATCTGACTGCAGGATCGGGACCTTAATTTGTGAAATCCAGCTTGCACAAATCTGCCTTGAACTCAGTGTTTAAAAGGTGACACATATCAGAACAGCCTTTGTTCTTTTGTGGGGTTTGTTTTAATTTTAAATATTCCCTCATCTCATCTTTTCTTTTTCTTACCTCTTCTTTTATATTAAATCGCGATGGTTCTTGTCTGCTTCGGTTTGATCTCCTAACCCCATAAACATCAGGATACTCTTCCCACATCTGCAAAATAAACAGACCATCAGAAGGCCTGCTTCACCCCCAATTACTGCTATCATTTTAGATAAGTTTAAGAGTGACCTTTTGATGAAACAATAATGGCATCGCCAGTATGGGGCTTTCGGTGGGGGTGGGGAATGGTTAGGTAAGTTATGGAAACTTATGAAATATGACGGAAAGAATCATGGATCATTTGACTCTATGCCTCGCCAGAGTTTATAACGTTTTTAATTTCAGCAGTCTCCCACTATATTTATTCTATTGAATTGTCCGTCCCCCTAGCTACAAAACATGACAAGGTTGTTTATATGGTAGAAGGACAGGTATTTCAATACCCAGTCTCTGCAAGTGTCCCTGCTACAAAAAAGGAACCAAAGAAGGAGCAACCCTGTTTTCCTATGAATGAACTGAGCTATTTATTTGAGCTATTTAAAGCTTTTTAGAATCCCCCACTCCATTTACATTAGACTTGTGGCAATGCTCAATACTTTCCCATGCAAGAGGCTTTACAGTAGAGATCCCCAAACTGTGGGGGCATGGAGAAACATTCCGGGAGGTGCAGCAGGCCTGGGCAAGCCACCACCAGGTGGGGTTTGGGAAGGTGTCAGGCAGGGAGCACTCCCTAGTCCTCCTCTGCATCCAGTTCTGCTCCAGCCCCCTCATCAGCTGTGAACTGAGCTCCCAAGTCCCAGCCACTACCCTCCATTCTCGGCTCTGCCCCACCATCAGAGTCTGCCTCCTCACCCCACCCTCCCCTCAGAGCTGTGGCCCTAAATCCTGGCCCCTGGAAAGGAGGAGGCACATGACCCTGAAAAATGTGGGGGACCACTTCTCTATAGAATCCAAAGGACAAGTCTCTCTGACCAGAAGCACCTGTCCCAATTTCTCCCCTAGGTAAAACCCCTCTGGGCTAACTGAACAGCCAGCAACATATCTGTGTAGGGTTGTGTTGCAATTTAGATACTAACTGGATCTTGAAGGGCTCACTGAACAGGACTCCAGCCAAGACAGGAATTCCACCCACTCTCACAGGTTTGTGCTAACAGAAAGCAGCTGGACTTCTAAATGCCTGAGAGCAGGTAACGTTCATTACCTTGACAGCTCATCACATTTTATTAAACTACTGACTGCCTCTAAAGCCCACTATATAGCTTTAAACTGAGTTTGTAAGCAGATAGTAGCATGGTTGGCTCTGGATGCTGTATCCATACAAAATGTAGTCCTCTATAGCAGCTAATGGTGTATTGCTCTTGCCAGAGACCTAAGATGCCAAATTGTCCTCCAGTAACTAGTGTGAATGTAGATGAGAACCCCCGCCCCCTCAATCATGCTTGCATAATTATCTGGCCAGTCCCTTTTCTTAGCATACTATGACAAAGAATGTCCCAAAATGCACCGTCCCATACGGTGCTGATGCTATTCTGTGCACATATCCCCTTGTGAAGTCAGATGACCACATGTTCCTGGAACGCACTGTGGCTAGACAGTGCAAGAGATGCCAAGAACTGTTACTGATACAGGTAGTGCTCCAAGAACCATCACATAAGAGTTTTGCAAATTGCTTACAACAGCATGATGTTATACTTGTGCAGTCAGGCCCTTAAAGGGAGAAATTAAAATGAACGACAACCTGAGGGGCGAGGTATGTACAGATACATGGATGACATGGAACACAATATTGGTAAGCCAGCTGAGAGTAGAAAGGACTGAGGCAAACCTCAAGACTGAGTATTTTTTTAAAAACAATGTCATTACCAGTGCTCACATACTCCTGTTGAGTCTAATTTGGCAACTCCTTATTGCCCCCATAAGACTTAATCCCTGTGTTATGGTCTCCTAAAAATATTCACTGCCATCCCACAAGTATCCTTAAAAGCACTGGCAAGAGAAGGGTACCTAAATCCACTAACAGATACAAAAATGGCACGCAGAATGAAGGCCTGATGAATGCAGGATGGTCACATTTACAAGGGGTTATCAAGAACCAATACAAAGGAGAGGTTTCTTGTAGAAAATATACCTATTGGACATTCACATACACAGAAATAAATCAGAAGCCTGTTCAATTACTTTCCTACGGATAGAAAAAAACCACCTTCCATTCAAATCTCTTTTCTCCCTTAAATTGTAAGGTTTTCTGAGCAGGGGCTGAGTCCTCCATCTGTTTGCACAATGCCAACACAATAGATCCAATTCTGATTGGAGTCTCACTGGAATATGAATACAGTATGATAAATATTCATTGCACTGACTGGTCCAGTGGATATAATTCCAATAGCCCCAAACAGCTAAACCCAACGGACGCAGGAAGTAAAATGTCTACTGCTATAGGAGTTCAGGAAGATGGGCACCTTCGTCATTTGGAAGTGCTCCACCAGTGTTCCCAGTAAGCTATGCACTTGTGCAGCCACTCGGAGAGTCAAACGCTGCCCAACTCATTAAAAGAGCGCCCAAAGCTAGATTTTTTGTTTCTACTGGAGGTGCACATTTGCACATGCCTGAGTGCACATATTTATTCTGCACATGGGACAAAAAAAGATCTGCACTTAAATGGAAAAGATTAAAGGGAACATTGGCCCCAACCTGTTCAATGTCTTGTTTATGTTATTTAGAAACCTGCATATGGATCTGTTTTTTTGTGAGCTGTTTTAATGTTCATCTTCTAAAGATGTGCTGTTAAGAGTTCATAAAGGAAGAGATAACTTCTTTCGGCTCCCATTGAACAACAATAAAACAGAGTTAAGTTTTTGTGTTACTGTTACTGACAAAAATCCATCCATCCTTCCCACTCTTAACACGTGAGGCTCAGCTAAATCCTGAGTGGGCAGCATAATGGTTCTCAAGTGGCTGAGCTGAGATGGAACTTCTGTTACATACAATTAGAATTCAGTGTTTAGTCACTTGAAGGGTTTAGACTTCAGGCACTGTTCTTCCCCAAGACCTAGAAAACAAACTAGCTTTCTCTAAGAACTTACATTAATGTGTTGTATTTGGACTTCGTGATCTGGGACTTCAAACCACAAATGGCAATAATAATACAGTCATATAGCACAAAAAGTATAGACAAGTTAGTCTGACCTGATTCCTTTTCTACTGCATTTGCATGTTTCCACACCCCAATAGACACTCTCACTTTCTTTTCCCAATTCACTCTCCATTGCACTTGACTATTGAGACTGCAAATAGTCAGATTATTACTTTAAAAGTGTTAATTCAGATAAATCTGTTGTTTTTACAGTACTGGCTGTATCCGACACTAGGGTCAAAAACTTAGTTCAAGCATGAGTTTTTGACTTCGGGCGGGGGGAGGAGGAAGGGAGCGACAACGACAGCAGGGTGAGCGCAATCACCCAGCCCTTCCTATATGGCTACATGGGAGAAAGACGCTGGCTACACCTGAGAGAGATCAGCTGGGAGGGGGGGATGTCCATTATGGAAAGGTATTACGGATCCAGAGGAATCAGGCAACAGGAAAGCTACCTCCTTTTTAAAACCACAATGATGGAATTAAAATAGTGAGCTGAGGAGAACATGCATCTACGAATACTAGCCCTGGGGAAATTCTGCAATTGTTGTATTTGGAGCCATAATAAAATTGCAGAATTCCCTCGGGACTAGAATACTGGACACAGGTTCCCATCTCTGAGCATATTCCACTAGGAAGCTTTACAACTTTTACATACATGAAGGGGAACCAGATGAAATAATGAAACCTCTTTACTGACAATTCATGCCTGCTTCCTTCATTTTGTTAGTCAGCCCTGTCACTTTTCTATCCCAGCTGCAGAATGTAAATCTCAAGCTGTCACACATGAACAGTCACACAGACTCTCCTGTTTGCATATATTACACAAGCTGGCTGAGATGTACATGGAGTGACTGACAAAGTGCCCGAGGAAACCAGCATCAGGAAGGCGGCTTTTTCTGAGCTGGTTTAGAGAAGGCTGGCAAAGTTTCACTAGTGTGCTGCTCTCTAGTCCTTCATTCTGGCCTGGTTAGATGCATGCGGCTAGTTAGTGACAGGAACGATACCTTTTTTACATCTGCTATCCTTTCCTTCTTGCTGGCTGGTTTTTCTTTGGTTTCAGGTGGAATCTGCTGGGATTTCGAACCTGTTGACTCACTTCCAGATTCAGACTGGCTTTCAGAGGACTCGGAGCTGCTGTTTGACTCACTGCCATGCTCACTGCCTTGTTCGCTCCCCTGCTCACTTTCAGATTGGCTTGCAGAGTCAGAGCCAGAGGCCTCTTCGGATGCTGAGTGACTAATGGTAAAGAAACAAGGAATTAAATTTAACTGCTCTACAACAGTTAAGAAATAACCTCTGAGCAAACCTTAACTATATCCAAAGTACAGTAAATACTAAGCACATTTTAAAAAGTCAACTAGGGGTATAAATTGCCCTGCCTAACAATAATACTCTGTGCTGTTATATCAGAGTCAGATGCAATTGATCTCTCAATAGAGGATGCATGTTTGGTACATAAGGAAGCAGACGGACTTCATGACACTATCCATTACCTACCTCTGGTCATCTAAAAGCACCAAAGATGGGCTGCAGAAAGAGCCACAATGAGGTTATCTCAAGGAAGAACTTGTTCTGTTCACAGCAAGATGCAGCATGTTATGCTGGGATATGTAGTCTCCATGGATCATACCATCAGATTAAAAATTAGTCTAGCCATGAGCTCTGGAATATCTCCATTCCTTTCCAATTTAGCAGCCAAATTAGGACCATATCAGATCAGACTGGTGCTAAGAACAGAGGCAGTGTGCAGAGCTTCCCTGGAGCCAAATTAGGACCATATCAGATCAGACCGGTGCTAAGAACAGAGGCAGTGTACAGAGCTTCTCTGATCCCCTGTATGCCCAGGAGCTGTAGAAACCGGCTGACTACTTCCCAGGAGTCACGCAGAGCCAAGGCAGGTGAGAAACCTGCTCTATCCTCACTGTACCGTCAGCCAAACTTAACAGTCGAGTCAGTTAAGAGCTGCTAGGATCCCTTCTTGACTAGTGTTCCAGTCAAAAACTGGATACCTGGTCACCTCATATGTAGCCTTCCAATGTAATAAAAAGAATATTGTAAAAATAAAGACTATAAACTGTATGAGACAGGGATGATCTTTTTGTTCTTTGTTTATAAGCAACCTAGGAGAATGGGGCTCTGGTATACAAAAATGCGAGTGTGTGTGTGTGTGTGTGTGTGTGTGTGTGTGTGTGTGTGTGTGTGTGTGTGTGTGTGTGTGTGTGTGTGTGTGTGTGTGTGTGTTTCCCCCTTTTATAAAATTATAAAAGAACAAATGCATCTAGTTTTTGTTCGTATTCATTTAAGAAGCATCAATGCATTTTAAAAGATGGCAAAATTTACAAGAGCAGAAGCAAGAATACCATATAAATGATAAAATTACATAGAAATCAGTGTATTTTGCACAGTAGCTAGCAGTGACATTAAATAGAATTCATAAATCTTTCCACATATAAATAGAAAAGATTAAAATATAGAAATAAAGAGGGTTCTGTTTTTCAAAGGAATTGTTTTATGAGTCCTTGTAAAAACTAAATCTCTTTCATAGAAAATATAGGTCTGCTAGCCAGAGAGAGACTACATCCCCAGCCAGTCATGAATAAATACATCCCAATAAATTGCCTATGTAAATCATTATGGGAGAATAGAACTGTATTTTCTCCTACTGCTAGCAGAGGGCAGCAGCGAAACACTGTATGAAAAACAGCTCCAGAAATTTCTCTGGTTCTGGGCTCTCAGCCAGATTTCCAGTCACCATTTTAGAACATTTATCTTCCACCATCTTACAGTCTTCCCTGCTCTTGCAATTTTTGGTTTGTTTTCTGTCCCAAAATGGAAGAATTTGAAATTAAAAGAAAAAAAATGAGCTACGAGGGAAGATTTCAAAACCTGGAGGAATAAAAATGATTAACTTCTAAGTAATGTTTAAAGATGAGCTCACAGAAGTTTGCTTTACCTTCTTCACTTTGGCTTTAAAAGTGGGAGGAATATTAAACTCAGAAGCTATTACCCCTTCCCCCAACTCTGTTCTAGAACTGGAAAAACAAGACACGCCACTTTGTCAATTGGCTTCTCCAATACTCTCATGGCTTGGCCCCCAATTCTAGTCCATACAAAATGCAGCCCTTGCTAAGGTCATTTTACCTGCCTGCACTCAAACGTGTCACACTTCTCTGAATCCTTCCACTGTCTTCCATTCTTCCATCACCTCAAATTCAAGTTTCTTGTCTTCACCACCACGTTCTACGCTCTCCCCCATCTTTGCCCAGGCCTGTTTACTGGCTCAGCTCTTTTCATGTTGGTCCTCTCCCTCTCCATAACACCATCTTTATTTTCCCTTCAACCAGCATTTGTTCACTTCTCTTACAGCAATCTTTGTGTCCTCTCTCAGATATTAAATGCCCTAACTATATTCACCCCTAAGGTCACACTCTCTCCTCTTTCATTTAAGAATAGCCCACTCTAGACCCTCTTATTAGCAACTAGGGAGTGCTGGTTGAAAATGTTCTGCTGAAGCTGTTTCTTGTGGGAAAATTGAAGTTTCAATGTCTAAATGTTTCAAGAAAAGTACTTGCTTTCTGTGGAAATTTAGAATTTTTAGTCAAAATCTAAACACTCAGAGTAAAACATTTCTAATTGGGAATACAACATTGCACTTTGCAGGAGGAGCTGTAATTCAAGTTTGTGTCCCCATTCTCTGTTGGCCAAGCTCCTCAGCTGGTCTGCATTAGGGATGTAAAAGTAGAGTCAATTAACCCATAAGCAAAAGCGTATTGATTAATACTATAGACTACATGCATTTCCCTCACCGACCCTTGCTAGTAAATTTTTTAGCAGGCTGGCCAGCAGCCCGGCTCAGTTCTAGCTCATGCCAGGTTTACAACCTACCCCTGCTATGGCTCTGTATTTAAAGTGTATTAGGAGTGAGGTGGGCAGACAGCCCTGCTCAGTTCTGGCTGGTGCTGGGTCTAGGAGCTCAGACCCTCCTTTGATAGGGGCTGCTGCCACCCCACGCTGGTTGAGGTCAACAATAATGGCTGGTTGAGGTCCAGGTGGAATAGCTGATATTTACTTAAAAACACAAAAGTCTTAGTCCTCCCTGCTTTGTCTGTCGAGGTTCTGACATCTTGTGGGGCAGAGACCACATCTAACACATTGTGGGTAACACCATAATGCAAATAAGGGTTAAGAATAGTAATATCTCAGAACTTGTTTCTTTAGAAAGAGGAATCGGCCATACATGTTTGCAGGTGTGTATGTACACTTTGTTAAACCCTTAGAGCTATATATATGTGGAGATTAAAGTTCCTCAATTAACATATGCTTTAGAAAGAGACTTTTTAATGCAAAAATTGGGCACAAGAGCAAAGCTATTTTTAGCTATGCTATGAGGTAGTGTATATGTGGAAATCGCTTTGGGCCCAACCCAACACCCACTAAAGTTAAATGACAAACACCTACTGAAATAGTCTCAGAGGGATAACTGTGTTAGTCTGTAACTTAATTTTTTTTTAAAAAACGAGTGGTTCTGTTACTCTACACTGAAGGGCTTAACTCGAAATAAGCTACACAAATTGAGCTACATCAATTGCGTCGCTTATTTCGAAATAGGGAGTGTAATGTCTACACAGCACTTATTTCGAAATAGAGCACTCTTCTTCTGACTTCCCTTATTCCTCATACAATGAGGGTTACAGGAGTTGGAGTAAGAAGTTCTCCATCTTGACAGTATTTTGACACTACAGGCAGTCCCCGGGTTACATGGATCCAACTTACATCAGATCCCTACTTACAAATGGGGTGAGGCAACCCCGCACTAGCTGCTTCCCCCCAGCAGACCAGGGAGATGCGAAGCTAGCGCCGCCCCCAGCAGACCAGGGAGACGCGGAGCGGCTTTTCTCAGCCGACACCTCAGCTTGAGAATAAAGGACTGAGGGAAGTGAGGGGTGGGAGAATAAAACTGAGCTCTGGAGAAATGTTTGGCCAGAGTTTCCCCTACAATATGTACCAGTTCCGACTTACATACAAATTCAACTTAAGAACAAACCTACAGTCCCTATCTTGTACGTAACCCGGGGACTGCCTGTATTTCGAAATAACTGCCTGCTGTGTAAACGTAGCCAAAGTTATTTTGGAATAGTGCTAGTTATTTCAAAATGGTGTTGCAGTGTAGACGTACACTAAGATGGTACAGGATTACTCCTTGTTTTTTAAGTTTACCTACTGAGCTAAGTACAAGTTGGGTTGGCCTCTTTATGGGTAAATAAATGTGTCTATGAATTTAGATCCACCAAGACCCAGAAAAGATGATTCCCCATGTCCATTTGTATCCTGGTCTGCAACTCTTTCCTCATGAGGCAGATATTTCTGATCTGGGAAAAATTCACCCATGGCTGAAGAATAAAAGGAAATAATCCTATTTGTGTTCGAGAAAGAACTAGCTTAGTAACAACTCTAGGATCCCACTGGGTCATCTTTTTGCAACCATGCATTTTAAGAAGTTTACAACAAATATGTAGCAAGCTTGGATGCCCTAACGACTGCTCTAGCATTTTACAGCTGGGCAATAGGACTCAATTTTGTAAACTTTTTCATATAAATTACACTCCAAATTTTTTTTGCATGATGTACTAGAACGTAAAGATTAGAGAGATGTTTTCACAGGGCCACAAAGAGGTTTTGGGGGATATCTAGGGCAAAGTCTGAAACTGAGGCCTTCCTCTTCCAAACAAATAAAAGTGCAACAGAGAGGAGATGGACAGTGGGCCTCCCCACAGTGGCAGCTTCTGTCCCATGGGTCTGAGCCTGAATCCCCACTCCAGGCACTGCAGCCCAGCATAAAGGGTGGTAGTGGACACTCCTCCCACAAGTATAAACAATGCAGTAAACAATGACTGCCTTAGCGTGCAAACAGCTCCCAGTAAGGGATGAGCACCAGTTACTTCAGCCAGAAAAGTCACATGGCCTCATACCAACCACCAGGGCACAGCAGGCCCTCCTGTCCTGAGCAAGGGAGTTGGTAGAAACTGGTTGGAATGGAGTTTAGACTAGCCTCTGTCGGACTGGCTCTTGAGTGGAGACCAGATGTCCCTTCGGCTCCAGTCCTCCTCTCTGGCTTTTTGGCTTCATATGTCAGATGAGAAAAAAATTAACTTGGGAGTATTTTTCATGCATCCCCCATCTGTGAGACCAAAATAAGATGCTGCTCACAATTCTATCACCTCCCACCACCTCACTTT